TCATTTTGACGATGATAACTTTCCGTGTCGATGAATTTAAAGCAGAGGTTCTACAGTATGACCACCCAGAACTCCCGATTCGATCCCACTCGATTTTTTACATGAAGATGGCCGAAATTGAAAGCCAACTACTATACTTTCTGGGCAGATATCATTAGATGCTATAGGCTATTCTTCAGAATGTGGGGGGAGATACAAGAGGTCGTTTATTCCATTGTATGCAAGTCAATGGTGCTCAATTCGAACATCTGATGATATTTTTAGGGAAGATTAGTTATTTCGGAAAAAAAGAAATGTTTTCAAGTTATTTTCTTTCTTTCTCTGTTGGAAGTTTCCAAATTTTTTACGCGTTTCGCACTTTATTGTAAGATTAACATACTTGTTCATACATGCCTGATCATGTTTAAACACATATGAATAGCGTCTCAAGTCTCAATATCGAATGCTTTGATCAGGGTAGCTTGTTTCAACTGGATTGCACTGTATGTATATTTGAAATGGTGACACCGACATGCTTTGAAATCTTTAGTGAAACGAGGTCAGGAGGGTTCAAAGGCTTATACTTGGTCTGTACAGTAAAAAAAAGGCCAGGTTTCAAACAATAGAATTTGAAATAATAAATTCAAGTTAGTTGTTTTTGTAGTCGCGATATCCCCTGTATAATTTGCATACTGGCTAACATGAACAGCGATTGAATTTTGCAGAACCAGTAAAAAAACGAAGGCTGGGTCCAATTATAGATGAGGAATTTTAATTTTCAACTGTACAGTCATCGGACACATATACCTATTTATTTTTCCCGAGAAAACCATTATCCATAACAATCATTCTTTAGTCATTACAACAGTTCAACTGAAATAATAATAGTTCATTGGATAGAACTTATCACGCCTCCGAAAATAATATGTATACTATTAAGATCTCTAGATTGGTTCGAAAATCCCGCTTTCAAATATTCCTTTTGTCTGATTCGTGTTTCGTAAAAGCGTGCGTAGCGTAGAATTTTTTTGTAGTGGAATTGCTCCATGATAGGATGAAATTTCCATTACTCATATCACGTATTTCAATTGTTGAACACAGTTATATTATATAAGACTTTCTAAAATATCATTACAGAAAACTTCTTGCCAAGAAATAAAAACATTTCACTGTCGTTCCTGCTCGAATAAAAATCATTATGATTATGTCGAGAGAGGTACCATTTGACAAAAAGTTGTAACATACACGAAGCGTAGCATTTTGCGCTGACAATGTCTTCAAGGCCTTGTCTGGTGGTGCTTCCAGCTAGAAACAGTGCTACCTTCGCTGTTCTCTTTACTTTTTCTAGATGTTTGTGCCACGTCAGCTCGGAATCTACACCTACAGATATTTGACCCCCCCACTACAGATTTATCTCTTAGTCTCAAAGTTTTAGAGGTGCTTGACCCCCCCGTTTCGGCCAATTTGGTGAATGTTGCTACGGTCGATTCCGTTGGGCTACCGTTCATCGATCCATTGCCTGCTTCATGCGTCCCTCCACTGTATCTGCATCTGTAGAGTAGGAAGGGTGCAGGCATGTCCTATGCGGGCACTCGCGTAGAACATGCCTGACAGTCTCATCTTCCTGTTCACACATCCTGCATTGATGTGTGTTCAGTAGCCTCATATTATGGAGGTGTTTTCTCAGTTAGCAGTCGCCAGTCAAAAATCCTACAGTTAAGCGTAGATTTTTCCTGGTCATCGCCAGATATTTCTTCGGCGCCAGCTTCCCAGGGTCGCCCAAGGTGATCCTGGCAAGATTGCATCCTCTGATTCCATCCCATCTCTTTAGGGATTGATCATGGGTGTTACATTTGGCTAGTTCCGCAATTGATGAAGTCATCAAGCCGTAGGTGCCACTGGGTCCTAGAATTCTTAGTCCAGCCGCTTCCTTGGCTAAAGAGTCGGCAATGCGAATACCCTTACTCCTGTCGTGCCCTTTAACCCACCTCAGGATGATGTTATTATCTACCGAGGCTTTGGCTAAATCTTGGTGACACTCTAGTACTAGCCTTAAGGTTACACGTTGTCTGTTCAAGACTAATAGGGCTTGTCTGCTGTCAGTGCAGATTGTTATGTTTTTGCCAGAAATTCCTTTCCTGGTTATTTCTTTTGTGGCGATTGAGATACCAGCCAGTTCTGTTCAAACCACGCTGGTATTTTTTCCTATTTCCCACTTAATCCTTAGGCTTGGTGATCTGGAGTACACTCCACATCCTGAGCCTTCTTTGGTTCTGAGCCGTCTGTATATATGCGTATTGCATTTGTAGTATCTGACTCTGTGTTCCGTTTTATTTGTATTTTGTACGGTTTATTGAATACAAATATGGGTTCAATTGCATCACTGGTTGCCTGCAGCAGAGGTTGCGCAGTGAGCGCTTCTCGCCATAGGCCCCGCCTCAATTGACCCATTCCGACTTTGAAGTTTACACCAGCCGCGCGCAATCGTACCATGGCCATTAACGCAACCTCCTTAACGTATAGGTCTAGAGGGGCCAGACCCGTAATTAATTCCATTACCGCGGTTGGTGTTGTTCTCATGGCTCCTGTGATGTTTAAACAAGTCATTCGCTGTATTTGATATAATTTTTGGATGGCCGTTGCTTGTAGAACTTTCGGTCTCCATGCAATGGCTCCATACGTTAACATAGGTGTAGATCCAGGTGACGACACGACGTGAAAGATCCCATGCGCGCCCCACTGTCCTTCGACATCGCTCATTAGCAACATATGTTCTTTTTGCTCTGCTCGGGAGGTTTTAAGCCCAATAAACTTCCTTTCCTGGTGAAAAGAACCATCTCAGTCTTCTTGGGATTGATCGACAGTGAGTGTTCCTTACACCATGTCTCTATTACGGCCGATTCCGTTGGGCTTACGTTCATCGATCCATTGCCTGCTTCATGCATCCCTCCGCTATACTTGTATTTGCCAAGGACTAGGATGACTAGATCTACCAGTATCGATCCAATCCAAGGCATTAATCTTCAAAATATGGTACCAAACAATTGAACGACTGTTTCAGACAGAATCGTTTTATGAAATGACACAGAAATACTGAGAAATCGCCTGTTGAACATCTCTCTCTGTAGAGTAGGGAGGGTGAGTGTAGGCCTATATCACTTAGGCCACATGTAACCCATTGTACATCCTCCCAAGGAGTTGTCCTTCTAGGTCATCGTCCATCCTGTCTTTTCCAGCAAAGTGGACAGGTCTTTGGGAGACATCTCTTTTATATCTGCGGATATAGGTCAAGACTTGCCGAACACACACTCTATCATTGACGATGACTCCGGACTTTCGCCTAGGACATACCTGACAGTTTCATCTTCCTGTTCACACATCCTGCATAAAGGTGTGTCCATTAGCCCAATATTATGGAGGTGTTTCCTTAGTTGACAGAGGCCATGAACAAATCCTACTGTTGAGCGTAGATTTTTCACAGTTATCGCCAGATATTTCATCGGCGTCAGGTTTCCAGTGTCGCCAAGGGTGATCCTGGCAAGTTTCCATCCTTTGAGTTCATCTCATCTCTTTAGGGATTGATGGGTATGACGTTAGGCTACTTCCGCAATTTTCGCAGTCATCAGGCCGTAGATGCCACTGGGTCCTAAAATCCTTAATCCAGCCGCTTCCTTGGCTAAAGAGTCGGCAATGCGATTACCTTTACTCCTTTCGTGCCCTTTAATCGACCCCAGGATAATATTATCCTCTACCGAAGCTTTGGCTAAATCTTGGTGGCAGTCTAGTACTAGCCCTGAGGTAACACGTTGTCTGGTCGAGGCTAATAGAGATTGTCTGCTTCCAGGGCAGATTGTTATGTTGTTGCCAGAAATTCCTTTCCTAGTTATTTTTTCCGTGGCGATTGAGATACCGGCCAGTTCTGTTCAAACCACGCTGGTATTTTTTCCTATTTCCCACTTAATCCTTAGGCTTGGTGATCTGGAGTACACTCCACTCCACTCGCCATAGGCCCCGCCTCAATTGACCCATTCCGACTTTGAAGTTTACACCAGCCGTGCGTAATCGTACCATGGCCATTAACGCAACCTCCTTAACGTATAGGTCCAGAGGGGCCAGACCCGTAATTAATTCCATTGCCGCGGTAGGTGTTCTCATGGTTAGTGTGATGTTTAAACAAGTCATTCGCTGTATTTGATATAATTTTTGGATGGCCGTTGCTGGTAGAACTTTCGGTCTCCATGCAATGGCTCCGTACGTTAACATAGGTGTAGATCCAGGTGACGACACGACGTGAAAGATCCCATGCGCGTCCCACTGTCCTTCGCCATTGCTCACTAGCAACATATGTTCTTTTTGCTCTACTTGGGAGGTTTTAAGCCCAATAAACTCCTTTTCCTTGTGAAAAGGACCATCTCAGTCCTCTTGGGATTGATCGACAGTGAGTGTTCCTTACACCATGTCTCTATTACGGCCGATTCCGTTGGGCTTACGTTCATTGATCCATTGCCTTCTTTATGCATCCCTCCACTATAATTGTATTTGCCAAGGACTAGGATGACTAGATCTACCAGTATCGATCCAATCCAAGGCATTAATCTTCAAAATATGGTACCAAACAATTGAACGACTACAGCAGGGAGAACCTACATTGATTGAGAGGTTTGCTTACAGCCGTCTGATTCATGTTATGCTGAAACTTGAACTGCTGGAAGACAACGTATGTCTTTTCCGCTTGGAAGATGATGAAACAGCTGCGGAACGAATCAGGTCCAAATGAGCTACTGGGCTTCTTCAGCTCTATTTGTTTGTCCACAAATGTGAGCCATGTGAGACTCAGTAAACCCTTCCAAAATGCCTTGGAGAGTCGAATATATCTACTCACTTTGGACCTACCCTACCTTATTATCAAACTCCTTCATTATATTGAACTTCTTCAAACTACACTATGCTACAGAGTCCAGAACTCACTCCAGTTCAACTACAAATACTTCAAATTATCATTATCATGTTCCTCAACTCACCAAGACCCCGTGCGTCGTGTGTTCACTATCCAGCTTGCCGTCCACGCAAAAGTAACACTTGTCCTGCGGCGTCCAATCCTTCAGCCTGTCGACGTCCTTTTCGTTTTCCTTCTGGTGTCCCTCTATCGCGCGGTCTCCTCCTCCTCCTTCGCCTCTCGCCTCCTCCTCTTTGCCTCCCGTTTTCGGCTCGTTTCCCTCCGAGTCCGCTTGGTGCGGGTGCAAGTTCTGTTTGTAGTCCTTGTGGTGATGGTAGTACTCGTCTAAATCTTCTTCGGGTGGGTTTGATCTTTTTATATTGTTGTTCAACGGTTGCAGATAACTTCTTGACATGGATTCTTGGTACAGTTTCCATTTCCTTCGGCCCATCAACTCTTCAGCGATTCGTTCCAAGCCTGCAACAGAGAAGTGATCATTTGAACAATCAAAGCGTACCACATGACGTTTTGCTGAGAACTCAAATTTCAACTAAAGAAGCTGAAGCAACGGAAGAACTTCAAAACAGCTTTCATAGCCCAGTGCTAATTTCAATGAAATTATTGTAAACGCAAAGTTGAACAATTTTTTTGTATGTTTTTGTTAATGATGAATCCATGAAACCCTCAGAATCTACATAATTTTCAGCAACTCTGGTCGATCATGAATTCAACTGAAAGAAACATATTGGGCGTACGTGTAAACCGATCAAACAAAAGTTTTATGCTGTGTTACAACTTCGAAGAGCTCCAGGTAGGAAGATCATAATTGAGCAGAGTTTAAACGTGGCCGTAAGATCTTGGGAGATGATGAACATTCGGGACGTCCAAATATGCAACTACCCACGAAAACATTGCCAAAAGTTCATCAAATGATGCTAGACGACCGCAGAATTCAAGTGAGAGAGATAACAGAGGTTATGAACATGTCACATATGCTGCACGTTAGACCAAAATCGTGTTCAAATAAACATTTCCAAGGTTCTATTGGCGCAGTTTAGGTGCAATAAATCCGAGTTTTAGCACCGATTAATTACTGTAGATGAAACTTGGATATACCATGATACACCCAAAAAAACGCACCGTCTCACACTTCATCGGTTGCCATGGCAAACATTCACGAACTACGGTTTGAACGACTTGACACCCGTCTTACTCATTAGATCTAGGCCCAAGAAACTTTTTTTGTTCCCCCATCTAAAAATTACGCTCGAAGGACTGAGATTTTCGTCAAATGAAGAGGCAATCACCTTCAGGCAATTATTTTGCAGAGAAAAACGCCGAGTACTTATTGGACGGGTTTCAGAGATGGAAGCATGGCTCCTCGCTGGAAGAAGTGTGTCGACTTTAAAGAAGACTATGTTGAAAAATTGTGCAAAAATGTATTGTATCTTTGACCACCTACTTATCCCGACTTCCTAATGTACGCATTGAAAGTAAATATTTTCTGATGCCCGTCTCAGTTTTAGACATCCTCCCAAAATGGAGTGCTTGCGTTCCGAATCCGTCCGAAAGACGCTACAAAAACCCTTGAGGGTTGACTGAAAATGACTGAGCATTACGTCACTACCACCCACTAACCCAATTACAGTGTATCCATCAATTCAACGCCCACTCCTTTCTCAGTTGTGTGCTGAGCCCACGTGAAATTTCAGAGATAAAGTATCGAATATCCACTGAACCATCACGGACGGATTGCTTTAAACTTTCATCGTTGCCAATTGGGCGTGGATTATATACAAGGCGATTTCCTTTATAATTTTTTTTGGGGCAGTTGAAAGAGTTGTTTTCAGTAACCTCCAAACATTTTTACTACTGAACTTGCACGAGAGACCATAGTTCATGGGGAAACTACATTTACATACATAACATTGGTAACAGGTCATATGAAACTACACAGAAACAATATATGAAGAATGAACCACTCTGCATAAGTGGGCGTATGTCAGCGCTTCAAATTTAGTGAAATTTCTTGTACTCTTTTGTAAACTATCTCCTGAAAAAATAATGCCGACCGACGCTGGTTTTCTCCGATCGATTTCGACTCAGTTGAGGTCACGCTCAGTCTTGCTTGTGTCTCGAAATTTCTAGAACGAGAGTTGATCCACCAGCTTCCAAAGAGTTATATAGGGTTATATAAGCAGTACTTATCAGTACTGTTAAAATGATGAGCAAGATCGCGATGTCAAAGCTCCACAATAGGCAGCGGTCTCGCTTGTATAAAGGAGCCATCAAGGATTCCTGACGGAGATGGAGACTTTCTAATCTCCTATGGGAGTCGCGGTTTGGCACTATAGGGTTTACTAATCAAACTTATTTTTTCATATGTTTTTTAACTCAGTAGTTGCTGTTCAGTTAGTGCTCCCTTACATCCCATAAATACACCCATATAGTATCTATGTAATCATTTCGAGCTGAACTCTGCTATGTTCCAGCACTTTTTTTCACGCGGTTTCTTTTTAAAGATCATTTAAAATATCTTTCCAGGTAGATATATCCATCCAGGTAGATATATCCATCCAGGCCCTTTCGAATCTCTGGCCATGAACTAATTACTTCAGTACCCTTCAGCTGGTTCAGAATCCATGTATGGTGATACATTTCTGAGTGTCGTAGAACCCAGCACACGATGTCACTTTTATGATCATCAATGTCTGGCTGCATGTAAATGCGTGTATCCATGTGAGCCAAAAAGTTGTAACGTAACACTATACATGTTCGGCTTTTTACGAAATGACGCGGTTTGACCCTAACAGTCATTCTGTTTGAAAAAATCTGTTTAAAATCTGTTTTTCCGTTATTCAGCTGTTGCCCCCATACGAACGACAACTCTCAGAAGTTGAGAAACTTGTGCGAGCTAAGGACTAATGAGGTCTTGCTTTTTAACGTGTGCTTCCTAACACGTATCGTCCCCGAAGAAGATACGAAATAACGCTCATGTGATGGTGGTTCGGCCTTGAAGCATTATCACTTGAGCCAATGGCCCGTAATGTAATAACTTACATGTTCCGCTCGTTGTGACCGTGTTCGCTTGAGGACTCACTTTTGAGACTCCATATCATACACCGTACATGTTCGGATGTTGCTTCTGGAAGCAATTTGAGTTTTGGCTGTATCAACCATTCCGGAACGTAACAGAACAAGGTAAGAATGAAATACAGCAGTATTCTACCGTAACTAAACACGTTTAGTACTGCTCTTATGTTACGGTTATGTTACGTGTTATTTGTTATAAGTCCATCTCCACTATCCGTAACGTAACGTATAAGCGGTTATATTTCGGATCATTCGTTACAAATAGATACACGCCTTACGAGTATTCGTATCAAAATCGTTACGGATAAAATACAGCAGTACTCCGTCTCCACTAACTGTAACTACGTTACGTGTTATTTGTATCAAATTGGTAACGGATAAAATACAACAGTACTTCATCTCCACTAGCCGTAACGTAACGTTCAAGCTGTTATGTTCTGGATCATTTGTTAGAAATAGATACACGCCTAAGGGTATGCGTGTTGGAACAGTTACGGATGAAATACAACAGTACTCCGTCTCCACTAAGTGTAACTACGTTACGGGTTATTTGTATCGAACTGATAACGGATATAATAGTAGTCCATCTACACTAGCCGTAACGTGACGTTTAGGCGGTTATGTTCCGGATCATTTGTGACAAATAGATACGCGCCTTACGGGTATGAGTGGTAAATTCGTTACGGATATAATACAACAGTACTTCACCTACAGTGAGCGGTTATTTTCCGGATCATTTGTAACGTACAAATAGATAAGCGCCTTACTGGTATGAGTGCCAAATCGTTACGGATAAAATACAACAATACTCTGTCTCCACTAACTGTAACTACGTTACGGGTTATTTTTATCAAATTGGTAATAGATAAAATACAACAGTACTCCATCTCCACTAGATGTAACGCAACGTTTAAGCGGTTATGTTTCGGATCCTTTGTCAATAATAGATACGCGCCTTACGTGTATGCGTGTCAAAATCGTTACTTATAAAATATAACAGAACTCCGTCTCCACGAACTGTAACTACGTTACGAGTTATTTGTATCAAATTGGTAACGAATAAAATACAACAGTACTCCATCTACACTAGCCGTAACCGTAACCGTTTAACCGGTTATGCTCCGGATCATTTGTTACAAATAGATACGCGTCCTACAGGTATGCGTGTTGAAATACCCTTCACTAAACGTTACGTAACGTGTTCACGGTTACGTTACGGGTTGTTTGTTACAAACAGATATGCACTTCAAGAATATTGTCCGATTGATTCGTTGAGATGTCGCATTATTATCGCACCTATGATCATTAGTCATCATGAATAGTGATCAGAACAAAAACCTATTCAATTATAATCGCTGGGGTAATGTTCAAGGTTTTTTTGTATTAAAAGCGTTTTGAGGTCACAATGAAGACTCCATAATTCGTATGAAAATATATCAATGACATTTCAACATTTCTATCGGTTTCGCTCCGAATTTATGTGCGTTTTTAGCGAAAAACAATATTCAGTTTTTGTTATAATCACGAAACGCGCACTTACGGTTTTTGTAATCGTGCAATAAATAATGGGCTATCATGAAAACTTATTAGACTCGCGAAAATGAAAATAAAACATTCTGCCAGTTCTATAAATAGGCAATTACAGAATAGTCTTGACTCTCAAAGTGGAAAATTTGAACTATTTCCATAACTGCCAATTAACCACTAATTTTAGTAATTAAAGGCTGGAACTAGAGTGGATTGTCATTATATTGTTATTAAAGTAATTCATCGGCAATTGTACGAAATTAGGTTCGACACGAATTGATTTATTTGGAGCGAAAAAAATCATCGGTCGTGAAAAAGAATATCAATAGGATGATAAAGGAGCTTAGATGAGGACCTAGACGGAAGCTGGAATAGTTTGATTGTGTAGAATTTAAGTATTCTGTGTGACATGGTGTTTTGCAAGAGATGACTGACGTAGTTGAAACAACATAATATGGTTTTAGGGAGGGAAAATCTACCCAGGACGCAATTCAGGTCTTAACTGGAGACATATACAATGCATTAGATAAAGGTATTCCATCAATAGCAGTATTTATAGATCTCACGAAGGCTTTCGATACCGTTGACCATTCCATTCTTCTACGAAAACTTGAGGGCATAGGTATAAGAGGTTCATCATATGAATTATTAATGTCGGAGTCGAACAAGACCGAAATCACTAGGAATTAAGGGCACGCTTGTCGGTTTGAAGTGACCGAAGTTCAATGAACTATTAGTTTCATGTGAGTCACAAATGTTACGTGTTTCATTGAGATGTATTGGTATGTGATTGAAACACTGAAAAAGGTTCATAACTATTCATTGTGAGCAAAAGAATTATCCAATGAAAATTCAGT